TTGACATGTTCGAGAATGATAAATAATAAGAATATGATCTGTATAGGTGCAGAAGGAATAAATAATGAATAATCTTTTGTTTTTTTTTTTTGTTTTGTTTTCTCGTTTTCTTTTTTCTACCTATTGAATGTTTTTTGTTTTCTTTTTTTCATTTATTCTTACACCGAATATATTTACTGTTGCTCGTTTCTTCGTATGATATATATACATAAATATATATATATATATTATTGTATTAATTTGATGAATAGAAAGAAGAAAAAAATTTTAGTTCAAATGATTGAAGGATTCGAAAATAGAAAGGTGTGGATCGAGCCTTGGTAAAAGGATAAGACAAACGATGATGGTCTATATCTTTCGGGTCTGATTAATTTCATGAAAGACAATTTTCTATTTATTTGCTGAGTTTGTCTTATTTTATTTGATTTATATATGATGAAGATTTTTATAAAAGAAAAAAAAAAAGTTCTTTGATTTATTTTATTGAATAATTAAATTATCTGTGAAGTTTTGTGATGTTAAATTTTAGTGATTTGTTATTTATTATTTGTTGAATCAAGCCGAATAGAATTAGAAATGAGATCGACAATATGTTATTTGAGTCAATAAGAATTCTATGGAATCATTACTCACTAAAGAAGAGTCAACAGAGAACATGAACATAATAAGCAAGTTTACCCAACGGTTATTTATATTTTGTTTTTAGAGTTTGTTAGTTTTTCTTTTAGCCTATAGGTATATAGTGTAGACAATATACGTCATTTTTACTCATTTTAACGCTTTTTCACAAATGCACAAATATATAATCTTGCAAATATGTGATTTTTCTTGCTTTCGAATATAGATAAATTACATATCATTTTACATTATTGCAGTAAAGCACACTGTGAAGCATAGAGCAGTCATTCTCATGATGACTTGCGATTCATGCAATTAGCAAATTAAAATAAATAAAGTTCCTTAAGTATCAAAAGAAATATTGACCAAGTTTGTTTTTTTTGTTTAAATAAAACTTCGCTACAACTAATATTTGCAAGAAGATAATAACCTCACCTACACGAATCATATAGATAACAATTTAATAATGATTATGTACATCAAATAACGGACTAAATGACCTCAATCTTCTTCCGACCATAAATATTTGATAAGTTGTAAAACACAAAATTGAAAAAAGAAAAATCAAAAATATTAAAGATATCACTTGGTTTTTTTAATGAAATACTTTTAAAATGTTAATATCAATCTTGTAATAAATTGTGTCTTGTCTACGAATCATTGATTTTTTTCTGTTATTTTTCCAAAAAAATAAATCAATGAAATTTTAAGTAATAACTCAATATAATACTTCTTGTGTCTTATCGTTTAAAGAATAAAACAATTCAAATAGATGTATCTACAAATAGTTATTTACTCAGTAAAGTATGAAAATGTTTTTTTTTCTTTTTAAATCACTACATTTTATTAATAATTACTATCTACCTAAACCTTGATTTATATTTATACTCTTGAGTAAAAAAGGAGAGAAAATCATTTTGTAAATGAAAATGATCTGTTTTTATATAGATGAATTACTTTTATTAATCATAATGGCTTAGACTAGCATTATTAATAGAAATTCTTGATAAAATATTTTTGTATACTTTCTTCATACTATCAGAATATAGGCTGTACACAGATCTTTTTTTAATGATAAACAATACATCAAAAAACGATTTCTATTGACATAATAAAACAGATGATAAGCGACAAAACTCATGTTCGTTGTTTTTCTTATATGATCAAAAAAAGATTAGAGCATTGAAGAAAAGAAACGTAAAATATTCTAAAATAATAAAATAACTAGATTACATTTATTATTATTTTTTTTTCAGTAAAAAAATATATATCTAAACATCTTGTAAACTAAGTGTTATTTTATTCAGCAAAGTGTGTAATATCGCGTCTATCGACAGTAGTAAATGTTATATACATTTTATTTCTGCTTGATACATCTACCAATAGAAGTACTATTGAATATTATGACTAAAGATTATTGATACTAGGTATCATGAATAATAACCACTTACATTTGAAAGCTTTTTGATGTAAGAAAAGTTTTTTTTTGAAAAGTATCTCAGTTATTTCATACGATTTCTATATCAACATAAAGAGTGATGTGAAGGTTTCTAGACTAAAAATGTTTGAAAGTATTCCGTCCGAACAAAACATACTTAAGTTAAAATCTACATTTAGTGCTCTTTTTGAATAGGAGATCACAAATTTTTTGTCTATTTTTATTCGAAAGTATTCGGAAGAAATTTGAAAGATCTGAATATTTTTTTTCTTATTTTCTTATCCGAGTTCAAAATCAAACATTAAAACTTTCGTTCATATACGAGCTTGTAGAGCAAAATCAGGCCTACAATATTTTCTATTCGATTTCATTTTTTTTTTATGCTAATAAATTATTGTAACAAATGTTTTCTATCAGTTTCAATTTGAAAAGTCACTTCACATGGAATTAAGTTTCTGAGAAGATACTTATAGTTTCATTTGACTAAAAGCAACAATTGAATTCGATATTACATTTTGTAAACAAGTTTTCGTTCTGAAAAATTACAAAGATAAATACTTCTAAGCGTTTGCACAAAAATATATGTATTGACAATCTAAACAAATTTTTCAGCACTTTTGAAAAGTTTTTTGTACTATTTTCCAGCAAAAATAAATAGAACATTTCTGAGATCATATTCAGAAAGAGCACGATCTTCTACTAGTTCTAATCCATAGTGTTTCATTCGTTTAGAATACTTTCAAACGGATCAATAATGAAAAAAAAAAAACTTTGTGTCAACAATCTTTCGCATCATTTGTTATAATTATGTAGTAAATCGTAATTTAATATAAAGTAAAAGATTATCATTAAATTTGAATAAGCAATTTTAAATAAACATTTTACATAGTCTTATTCATAAAAATAATCGCTCAAATATCGAGCTTCACTTTTGTAATTTATTATTCAGTGCTATCAAAAAAAAAAAAAGCACAAAACCAAATGCAAAGAAATGAAAAAAAAAATACTGAATAAAATTCTTTCGTTGCTGAGTTAATAATATGAAACTAAATTTATAAAAAAAAAAAAGAAAAGGAGACATGTAAAAATATGTTTTTTTGTTAATATTAGTTGTAAGATCATGAACGGATTAAAAAGAAAAATATGTATAAAAAAAAAAATTCACAATTTAATGACGAAGTGATGTATTATTATATATTGATAATAATTTCGTAAGTTCATCTTGATTTGAAATTTGACTTTTAAATTTTGTCATAAGTGTTAATAATTCTTGTATAATTGTATCTTTTTCTTGTAAAGCTTTAGTTTTTTCTTCAATTTTAATAGTCATATCAGAACAATTTCCACAATTTGATGTCTATAGAATTAAAAAAATATTTTCAAATCAAACAAAAGAAAACATCTTTACTCCTTTCTTATTTTGATATTGAAGTAATTTTTGACGAAGTAATTCATATTCATCATGTGTTCGTTTGAGTTGTTTTGTTAATTCTTCAATTTGTTGTTGTCGTTCCCTATAAAATTCAAAAAAAAAAAAAATATAAATTTGAAATTATAGAAAACAAAAATTAAATTGATACCAAGAATTATCTTTTAATGAATCACTTATTTGTTTTTTAAGAAATGCTATTTTATCATCACGAGTTTTTAATTCTCGAGCATGTTCTTGTCGCATTTGTTCTATTTGTCTTTCATACTAAAACAAAAAATAATTTAGAAAAATAAATATATTTTTTTTTTCTAAATTGTACATGTTCTCTTAATGCATCTAATTCAGCTGATGAATCATTAGCTGATTTATATATAGCTTGAAGACGATCAACTTCAGCTTGTAAACGTTCATTTTCATTTTTTAAACGATCATTTTCCAAACGAAAATCTTCAAGTTGTTTTTGATAATTTAATTCCTGATTGCAAAACAAAAACCAAACGAATAACTAATACAAAAAAAAAAAATCAAAACATAAAAGAAAATTTACTCGTTTTTTAAGTTCTTCATTTTCTTTGGTTAATTCAGCAACACGTTTATCTTTTGTTTTAATTTGTTTTTGTAATTCAGCGACTTCTTTTTCTAATTCTTCAATACGTCGTTTAAGACGACGAATTTCATCTTCAAGATTAGAAATTTTTATTTTCATTGTATCACTGTCATCAGATTTTTTAATTGATTGTTTTGTTTCAATTTTCGTTGCATTTGTTGGAACATTTTTACGTAGTGCTGGTGTAACTACTGATGATCGATTAGTTAAAGTTATTGAACGTCGTTCTACAGGTTTTTGTGCTTCTTCTGATGATTGACGTCGTTCAAGCGATTTTGATACTTCTTTCGGTGGTGGTACACGCATAAAACTTCCTTGAATTTCAAGATTTGTTGGTGATGTCGACATTGATTTTCTTTTTTATCTTGAAAAGAATAAAAAAAAAAAAACAACAAAGATATAGATTTATTGAAGAAAAAAAAAATGAGAATGATTTGAAAGTTCAAATGAGTATATAGTTTTGATTTATTAAAACACTATTGCTAACCTTCGTTGTTTATCTTATTTAAAGAATTTGAAAAACTTTCTTAGTAAAAATTATATTTTACTTAATACAGTATTGTTTTTCTTCTTCTCCTATTGAGTTTCAATTGAATGAAATATGAGAATATGCTAATAATGAATTTTAATGATTTCTTATACTACTAGTATTTATATTTGAAATAATGGTTCCGGTTAGTTCATTATTTGAATATGGAGCCATAGTTAAACCTTTGATTTTCGTTTTTTACTTATACTCACTTCAAAAAAAAAGAACAAACAAGAATGAAATTTATGAAAAAATATATTGCGACATCTAGAAAATGTTCTTTAAAAGATTCTTCTATGGTAACATTAGTTGTTAATGGCAACTTGTTTCCATCAATTGTAAAAAGAAACTGCTAACGAATTGCATATCAATAAAGATGGCTAAAGTTGTAACATGTCCACGACGATTTACATCTAAAGAATGGACACTTGTATCGAGAGTTAAACATAAAAATACTGAACGAGATCAAGTTGTCGTCGAACGACTTATTCTTGAATGTGCTCGACTTGATCAAGAAGGACGTGATACCGTTGAACGAACTCTAACTGATGTTAATAAAAAAAAACTTGGTGAATATCAAGAATATGCATAACAATAAATAAATATTTATAAATGTTGAAGATGATTTAAAAAAATACAATATAGTGAACATATACTTTGAAAAGACTATTTACTGAATAGTTTTGAAAGAAAACTATACTATGATAATAAGATTTGATATCTAACTTAAATTCAATTAATATACTAAAATAGAAAAAAAGAAAACTAGAAAATAGCTTTGTTTTAATCGGCTTAAATATTTTCCCGAGATTGTGTTCTAATTGAAAATTACATTACAGAAAACGTCAGCTTTAAAATAGCTGTTAGAACTTCATTAAAATTTTCAATAATTTTGAATTAACTAGTCGGCAAAGTTCAATTTTCACTCGATAAAAACGGAAACGGAAATGAACAATCAGCATATAAATGAGAATAGAATAAAAAGAAAACGATTATATATTATTAATTTTGTTTTTTATCGATCTTAAATATAAATCTTAATCGAAAATTATACAAAGATATTATGATGCGACATTAAATTTCATTTTCTTGACTATCAATAATTCAAACAACAGAGAGATATCAAAATTTATATGCAAAAGTATTCAAGATGATATTATTGTACACAAAACTTATTTTATGAAAACAGAAAAGATGATTGACTTATAGATAACTCGATATGCTCTATGATCGGAGTTAATTTAAAACAATTTTAGAGAAATTTTTGCTAGTCTAGAAGCTCAGCATGTAAAGGCATAAGGAGATTTCTCGTTGTTAATTTCTGAATCGACATAGTCAATAACCTATAATCTAGTAACTTGTGGTGAGAAAAGAATCTATCCGTTTGAAAATGTTTCCTTGTAATTATAGTTAGTGCTCATAAACCACACAAGCATTCGTGTTCACTAATGCACCAGAAGACAAGGTTATTTTAAAAAAAGCATATTTTTATAGGTTTCGTGTCTAAATGTTATCATAAACACCGATGCTAATGTAATCAGTGTCCTAGTGAGTTTCTTGATGGTGACTTACTCTTAGTATTTCCACCAACACAGTACATCCTTAATACAATACATAAAAAGCGAAAAAAAAACAAGAAAAACAACTGTAACTTCTTGGTTTTTCTTTGTTTATAATTAGCTTAACGTTGAGATTACATTAAAAATGGAAAGGTAAATAAGAAGTAAAACGAAGTGAAATAGAAAAAGAAATCTATACAACAGAATTTTATTTTATTCATATTGAAAAAAACATCTTCAATCACATCAAGATAACTTACATATTGTTCAAACAAGATTAACAAATCAATTAAATAATAAAAAAAAAAAAACTTTTCTAATAAAATTTTATATAAATTTTCATATTTTTTTTTTAACTGTAGAGAAAAACGTTATGATATTGATTTAGTTCATGATAATGTTCAAAAAAATTTAATTATGGAAATTACAGCTATTCAAAGTGCTGCTATTACTTTACTAACACGTACAATCGTACAAACGAAAAAATAACTTAGGTAATGTATTCATTTCTAACTTAAGGTTATTTATAGAATACCTTGAGGCAAATGATGATAAAAATGTCACATATAGTTATGTGATAATTACTATCAGAATTATCTGTTATTTGACATTTACCGTATAGAAAATATCTTTTTTTTCTTCTTTTCCTTTTGATTTTTTTTTGATTATTCATACAAACACACACATAGGCATACAGAAAAGATAAAAGAATCTATGAAAATGAATTATCATTTTCTTCTTTTAAGTCTTTGTCGACGTTCACGTAAAATTTCCGTTACTTCATCAACAGATGGTTTTGTTTCTATTGTTGTTAATGACGAAGTTCGTTGAACAGTTTCAATTTGTTCTGTTATAGAGCCAGTAGGAGAACGCTTTTCATTTGTTAATATTCGTCGACGTGTTGGAGCAGGTGGTGCAAGTAATTTCGGCGCATTACGTAAAGGATCATCAGTTGTTGTAGTTGTTAAACTAGGAAGAAGCATATTACTATTAGTAGTAGTAGTAGTAGTAGTTGCTGTTATAGTTGTCGCTTTAGCAAATGTAGCAGCCATTTTTGGATCGGACATAACGGGTAAAAAAAGCAATTTTCCTAAACTTAGTAAACCTTGATCAGGACCAAGTGTTGACATCATTTTAGCAAGTCCATCAAGAACAACGGGTTGTGAAGCTTTTCTTTCATAGGAATAAAATAATTCTTCAATAACATGTGTTACAACAAAATCTGATGTATTAGTTTCTAATAGACGAAGTACAAATATTCCATCACATTTTAAATAATTATTAGCAAAATCTAAATGAGAGTCATCACGATGTAATAGAGAATCATCAGCTACGGTTGATTGTCGTTGTTGTAATTGTGGTTGTGGTTGTGATTCTTGTTGTTGTTCTTGAGAATGTTCATTGGTGTTCATTATGGACTTTCGTAAATGTCTTATTAATATTAATTTTAAGCGTGTCGTTACATATTTTATTCGAATTGGTCGTATAAATGAATATGACCATGTAAATAAAGAAATTATATTCAAAATAACTATCATAGTATACCAAAAAAATAAAAATGTAAACAATTGTTCAAATAAAAGATTATTGGGTAAAACACATTCAACTGTGTAACGATGTGAATTATATAAATGATTAGGTTCACGTACTCTATAAGAACAAACAATATTTATACTTGATATATTATTTTAAATATCAATAAAACTTACTCAAAATCGCATAATGTTACTTTAGGAAAATATTTTGAAAGACCACCTTGTTGTCTATACGATTGTTGAAGTGGTTGATTTTGTATAAGTAAAATTAATTTTTGTAATAATTCTAAACCATAACGATAATATTTTATTCCAAGCATTTCATTTAATAATGCTAATTGACCAATTGAATTAAGAACATAAAGAATTTTCATTAATAAATAAACCATCATAAAATAATTGCCTTGAAATTTTCCATACATACAACAAAAAATTGCTTGAATACGTTTAAGTAAACTAATATGTCGATTTTCTCTTCCACGTCTTGGATCATCAATAAATTCATCAATAGATGCAATTATATAATTCATTATTTTACGTCTTTTATCCATTCTATCAATTGATTTATAACTTTTACCAGCTTCAATTATATCTTTTAAATCCAAACCACTTCGACTCATAAGAGATTGCCAAAAAAGATTTGGAATGTAGAAAAGAATGCTTAACAAAAAAAAGAAAAAGGAAAATAAAAAATGAACTTGTTCTTTTTGTTCGAATATATCAATTACCTAAGAAAGCAAAGAATAAAAGGTATCCATTGATAATAAAGTAATTGTAAACTTTGTCGTTCTGCACGTGTACCTGGGATTTTTTGTGTTTGATTAACATAATAAGTATTTGTAATATAACATATATGATTTGTATAATCTTCATAACCAGATGTAAACATAGCTGGTACCCAACCTGAAAAAAATGAAAAATAAATTTGAATATCATTTCTTTTTTTTTTTCGAAGACTAATTAATATGAAATTATAATAAGTTTATATATTTACATTGAATTTGTTTGGAACTAAATTGACGATTTGTAACAATAGCGGAGAAAACATTAAGTAAAATAACTGTATAACGATAGTTAAGTCGATCAACAAAGTCATCTGGATCAGCTTGAGGCGCTTGATTGTGACCGGCAAGACTCGGAATGCCTTTCAATAAGAGAAACGCCATACGTCAACGTTGTCGATCGATTGAACATCATGATTCTCTCAGTACATTAATACATGTTCTCACTCTTGCTGATCATATACCACTTTCAATCATGTATCTTATAATTAGATCTATAAACGACAAATAATATGAAGGTGATAGTAATTTCTTGAAGCTGAATAAAAAGAAAGAAATAAAGAGAAAGTCTATATGTATATGTTAGAACGATAATAATCAGAAGGTTGATGCTGTTACTCGCATCATCAAAATCTGATATTGTAATACTGGTCGATGGGCCTCTTTTTCTTTCATTTATAACAAACAAATGTATGAATGCGCCTATGTAATTGTCTGCAATTGTTTGATGACAACTACAATAGATGAAAAAAAAAAAGAATTAGGTTTTGTCCGCATATTTAGAAAACAGACACGGAAGAAAAAAAAGCAAAAAACTAAAGACTATTATAAGCACAAGTAATAACAGTTTGACTTCGAAGAGAAAACGATAAGGAGAGAGAGAAACATAGAGGGAGAGAGAGAGAGAGAGAGAGAGAAAGAAAAAATGATGATGATGATGATGATATCACCTTCTTCCGAAATCAATGTAACCCGATGCAGTATGCTTCTGGTCTTTCATCACACACAAATATATATATAATATATACATGCAGATAGTTAAGAAATTCCTTTAATATCAGATCGTTAGTAACTGTATGTATATGAGTTTGTATGATGGTGCAACGTGTCGATTAGGAAGATTTTACTCACACAAACATCCGTCGACTGACATGCATATACATATAAGCACGTTTACTTGGCTTTGAGTGCAAACTGATATGATGATGACATTTCTCATGGGTATAGACGAATACGCTCTCTTTGTTCGTTGATTTCTTTCAGCACACAACTGTTGTACATACTTTCGTTTTTGTTATTTTTATGTGTAATTCTAACAAGATAATAATAATAATAATAACAATAATAATATTGAAAGAAATAGGAGAAAAGAAAAAAAAACCTAAAAAACAAATCTTACCAATAAAAACTTTTGTATTACATAATGAATATTCTGTATTAACATTCATATCATTCAATTCTAATGGATAATTAATCTCTATTATTTGTTCTTTGCTTTATTTATTGTTCACTGACACTATTCTTTGTTTTTTATGTATCGATAGATGTTTGCATACTTTATTTCTCTTGCTATTTTTATCGTACTCTCAATGTTATTATTATTTTATAGTATAGTATTTGGACATTTAGACACATCGTATCTTCGCTTAGTAGAGAAAACACAATAGTCTAAGTAGCAATGTTAACTACAGTTTTGTCTGTTATTGTATCACATATGTATATATACATACAGTAGATTGACAATACTTTAATATTTTCTAACAGATACCATATTGTAAATGGTTATATTCGTACAAACAGCTCTTTGGTAACATCCAATAATTTGTTCTATTGTATCTGAAAGAATGACAAAATGAATAACAAAATAAAACAAGAAAAAAAAAAGAAAAAGAATGACGATAATCATATATTCTCATATTTGTTGGATTGAAATTAAAAATCAATTACTATTTAATATATTGACTATTATTGTTATTAATAACATCAACAAAATCTAATAGAAAAGAAGAGAAATAGACAAGAAATGTCATCTAAAACTGACAATAAACAGGTGACACATAATTTTCTTGGTTTTTTTTTTCTTTCAATTTACGCATTCTTCTTGTTCTTGTTCTTCTTTTTTTTCTCTTCTTCACTCCTTCTTCTCGTATTTCTTTTTTTACAATCTTTTCTATCTAAGTGTCGATTAGAATTATATCCGTATGTGTTGAAAGTCGTCTACATGACTTCCTGTCTCTTATTCATTCTTTCATCATTCTTTGTATATATGTTCGGCATGCACTGATCGAATCCGGCGCTATGCCTTTCTTCATCTTTCTTTTTTTTTTCGGAGCAATTCAATAGAGACATAATTATGCTCTATTCTATTTCTATCGACTGATGCGCAAAGCTCACTATATGCTCGATCGAGATCTTAAATACAAATTTACTGCACAATCAATTGATAAACATACTATGAATTTAAATTTAACAAGTCCATCAATTTATCTTAAAGAAGGTATAACAAATATTAATTCTCGGTATGTTATTTCAAATTCTATATATTAATCATATAAAGAAAATAATCTTCTAGTAGAAAAAACAAAACAAGCAAGAAAAACCACTAAAGAATTCTCTTGAGACTAGTACAAAATGAACTTTCTAGTCGATAGTCTAAAGATCGATGGAGATGGAAAAAAACGCCCATGGGTGTATTATATTTGTACTATAGCAAGTAAAACATACCCCAAACTATATATAGAGATTGATGAGAATTACTATAGTACTTTGGTCGAAAGATATTCTTTCAAGATGAATTCTTTCGTCTTTAATAGAAAAAAAAACCTACTAAAGATCAAATTTCATTGAAAAGATTAACATTCTTATTTATCTTGATTAGATCATTTTCCAAACCATTTTGGGAAGAATATTCAGATGAAAATACAAAAAAAAAATGCTGAAACACAACGACTTAATTCCGTATAATTACATAATGTAATTGATGGTATATCAAAAATAAACTTGTTGCTGATATAAAACAAGCTATTGAATGTATAAGACGTTCATTTGATCGACACATTTATGAATCAAAACAAGCCAAACAAAAACTTGAAGATCAATTATATGATGTAAATAAAAAGTTATTTATAGAAGATGATTTTCTTTTTTTTTTATTTATTCGTTATTTACAATTTAGATTGATCTATTAATTAATCAACTTGAAGAAAATATTAAAAATACTGAAAAAGGTATACATGATAAAGAGCAATGTTTAAAATTGACTCGTACACGTCTTGATATTCGTCATAAACGACCTAATGTTGACCTTTTTTATAATGCACCGCAAAAATGTCTTATAGAAGAAATTCGAGTGATTGAATGTCAAATACAAAAACGTCAAGAACAGTATGAAATGAAAAATAAAATAGACTTACCGTCTTGTTATTCTCAGATCTGTTTGTTTTATAAGTCACAGCAAAAAGAGGAAGATAGATAAATAGTAAAGAAAAAGGAAAACCAGGAACAGGTACGAATCATTTATCATATGCAAACAAAATGTCAACATAAAAGACGAGACGATGTCTTTGTAGATAAATAGTTTTGATGATCTCAATCTGGTTAGCACATTTTTTCAATTTTTGTTTGCACATCATCATTAGTCTTCGTTGACTGATTTGACATATGTTAATTTTTATTATTATAAATATATTCTTTCTATTTGTTTTAGTTTGGCTGAATCGGATGTAGGTTTACGGAATTTAAATCTCGATAAATTAATATTAGAAAAAGATATTGAAACAAAAACGAATACGATATTTGTTGATGAAGTCGAATGTCATGAAAGTTTACGAACATTAATTTCAGTTGAAGATTGGTAACAAATAAAAAACATTTTTCGAAAAAACGAAACAAAATAATATATATTTGTATATAGATATATTTTTATTTATTTATTTGTGTTTATTTGTTTGATTGATTTTAATAAAAACAGAATTTTATTTTTCTTTCGTATATTGCTTTTTATTACGATAAATATTGAGAAGTGTTCGAGAATGAAGAATATCTGATGGTTTATTTTCATTATGCTTTATTTCACTGGACATTTGAGGAATTGGTCGTGTTATATCTTTAAATGTCGATAATCGTTTTTTATAATATGTTTTATTTAGTGTTTTATCTGATAGTGAAGTTGATATTCGTTTAGTTATATTTTTCAATGATGATGATGATGATGATGAATATTTTCGTTTATTTGAAGATAATATTTTATCAAAACAAATTTCTTGTTGATGATAACGATTAGAATATTCCGAAGGTATAAATGGTTTGATAATAATAGTGATTGCTGATGGAGATTTACGTGATTGATTGTTATTAATCTGATTCGATTCCATCGAGATATTTGCTGGTGGTTTCATACGAGTGATTAAATCTGTACAATGTAATGAATAATTTTCGAGATAACAAAAAAAATTATTCATTAATTTAATTAACGTACATGTTTCAATATTATTTTTATTATTATTTATTTGTTGATCAGATCGATAATGTTTACAATGATTTTGTTTTACAATTGCAATTTTAGATGAAGATTGTTTTTTGTTAAAATATTTATTTTCAGATAATTTTGTCATTGACTGTAATGACCGAGAACAAAGAGTTTCTTGATCTATTTGATAATGTTTATTATAATTAACATCAATGTAACACTTCAATTTATTCCGTGGAGAATTGACGCAAACAGTTAGTGATTTGTTGTTTATAGCAATCGAACGAGAAAACATGGGAGGAAGAGGGGCGTCTTTTTTTTCTCCGATAATAAAGAGTGATCGGAAAGTTCTTAAACAAGATGTTTGTTTACTTTCGGCTCGTTAGAAAATTTTTCCGATGAGTTGGAAGACAAATTTTGTGCTCTTATCGAATATGGATTTAGAAATTTTGTTTCAATGTTTTTCAACAATAATGAAATAATCCTTGAAAAACTCAAGACTGATTTGAATGGATAATTTTTATATATTCCCTATTGTAATTCGAAACTAAAATTTAGCTTCTTCATTTATATATCAGCTTATGGATCGGAAATGATCCAGTACTATACACTATTTGAAGTCTTTTTTGCCTTTCAATAAGACACATTAGTTTTCATTTGTCCTAAATACTCATATTCGAAGAAACAGCTGACGAGGGAACCTTGTCAGTTATCCCCTTTCGATTTCAATCGATTCTTGACTATAAATACGAAATAGTGTTCTGATAAAACACTTGAAAAAATTAGAGTTCCTATTGAAACTTCATCAAGCTATCGAACTTTGATCTGAAACTTTTTGCATATAGCGAACTCAACTGTATTAGCTTCCTTATAAAACTTCAGGATTTTTGAACAAAGTCCCTTCAAGATATGGAACTTTCAAAAAAGATATATTGGATACACTGTCGATGGAAAAGATTAATATCATAAAGATATCATATCTCGAAAAGAGGTTTTTCAAAACTTGTGAGATTTTTAATAAAAGTTAGTCTAGATGAATTCTCTACGTGCAACACGATTTTAGACCGAAAATACGAGTTTTCCGAAAACTTGAGGGCTCTAGGACAGAATTCCATAGTTTAATCGAATATTCATAGAAATTTGAATCATTTTAGGGTTTTTATTCATATTTAAATTCTGGTCGAGACCTACAGCTTTTCTCTTGTCGTAAATGATTTGAAGTAAGCTTAAATGAACAAACATGCTCATTGGATACATCATACCCCAACTTCTGTCCAAGCTAAATTTTTTTGGCTTTGGAAAAATTATTTCACTATTCTCGAACAAAGCCTATAACAAAAATTTCTAAGCAAACGAAATTCTGGTCGTAACTCATTGGAAATATTTGCTATAGGGTCAAAAATGAATAAACATCTTGTCTAATAACGTAGCGATCAATCGTTATATAAGACAAAATCATTTTGAAAGTCAATCATTTCTACAAAACATTTAAAAACATTCTATCATTCCGATCAAATTTTGACTTTGGCATGCCACTTACATAGAAGCTTGAGGTCTATAGTTCACGAAATAAATTTGAATGATTATTGTGAAATCATAATTCTATTTATAGTTTATTTTTGTAGATATCCTATATATTTAAACTTTTAACAACAAGGTAGTGACTATATATAAAGCGAAAATAAAAAGGAAAAAAAATCATAAGGTAAAAACTTATATAGAATCAGACTAAGAAAGAAAGATCCATAAAACAAGTTTCAAGAAAAAAGATGAGAAAGAAGTAAAGAAAATGTCCATCACATATACACCGTAGGCAAAATTAGAATACTATTCCAAATAAAATTATACAAGAAAAATAATTCAAACTCGAATAGAATATTGGTTTTTATTCAACAGTATCTTTTCATTTCACTAAACAGTATAGAAAAAAAAAACATTTTAATATATTCATCTATATTGATACAACCACCTCGTTTGAAATGACATTATATCGAACAAAAACTTCCATTGTTTTGTCGCATATTTGCCTTTACAATCACAAGTGCGACCAGTTATTGAGCCCGATTCAGGCATTTTTTTTATTAGATTATGACGGGTACGTCTATATTTATAGCTTTTATAGGGACGATCACTACGATTACAGTTTTCTGCATCGTTTTTTATGTTCCATTTGACCTTCAGTGAAGTATGGGATTATATAAATTTATCGTGAATAGACTTCTAATCTGGCCTGGTCAATATTAGAATTGCTATATTTACCTACAATGTAATGGGAAAAAGGATTCATGAAGCGTGGCTAACAATAATAAAAACTTTAATATGGGTATAATCATATGCATAATGGTGAAATTCTTATAATATCATCTAAAGACGATGCAGATCATATCTATTATATTTTTCATATCCAAAGGCTCGGCAAATTCTTTCAAACTTTTATTATAGATAGAAACCATTTAGATATACTGTCCATAAAAATTTCATTGATTTTCCTTTAGCTAGAGCTGAGGTATTTAAAAAATGCCCCTCGTTACAGAATTACAACAATGAAATGTTTTTAGCGAAGCTGAGAGTTTTGCATTTTACTACGAAACAAAACGACACACAAATACACCTTTTATATAAAAGTTGTCTAGATTTTAACAAGTTTTCGGAATATCAGGTCATTTCTTAACAAGCATAATTGCATCGATTAACAAACTAAAAATAATTTTAGATACGGACCTCTATACTTTGTCCAAAAACCACACTTTGAACTAGGACGAAATCAAAAAAACTAAAAACAACCAGATTTTCATTACCGGTATCGAATTCTGCATCGAATGATGTATTTTTCACTAGAATCGAATGAAAAAAAAATTTTAACTTTTTCAATCCAAGAAAAATAAAAGTTAAAGCTTTAGTTAACTAAATATTCCATTTTGTTCAGAATTCGAGGCTCATTCTAAATATGTGCATACTTATGAACAAAACCAATACCAAAAATTGATTAGTCTCAAAAGAGTATTAAATTCAGATATTAATAAAATTCTATAACGCAGTATTTCTAGAACAATGCATATTAATAATGAAGCAAACTCTGCTCAAAATGTGTGTTCAGCGGAGCTTACTAAATTTTATCTAGAGGCGTCATTTTTATTGCGGAAATTAGCAACATAAGCGAGTAAAACATATCATAAAAGAGTTCTGTTACGAAACTTCATCAAGAATAGACATGGTTTCTGAACGTATCGTCTTGGTTCGTAAACTTCTAACATTCGTAAGAAGGTCATATATTGAAAGAGTATTTCTTATTCGATGGATTAATGACTAATGGAACCATTTTGTTTCTGCGTATCACTTCTTAGTTGACGATGTATTTCGCAACTATCTTATAGAAAAGTCTTAAATACTATTGATCGTTCTCTTTTAAACGGTAGACTCAGCTTCCTTTAGTTTTGAATTCGAGCCCTTCTCGTGTGCGGGTAATCGCTGACTGATCATGCCACATTTGTTATCAAAACATAAGCGGAATGACAGACAATTTTCATACGTTTTTTGAATTTTTTGTAGAAATCATTAGTATCAACATGGTTTTATTCCGTTTGTTATCAAAGAAGAAGACGTTTTCAGACCATCTCTTTCAATTGTTGAAAACTGCAGATCACCAGCTGTTTATACTTTCGATTTAGTCAATATTTAACCGAGTACCTTTGAATCTCTCAGTGATTTGAGTTGTTTTTATATTTTCATTAAGTGATTGCTGAATATAATGACCACATGAATGTGACCGACATTTTTTTTGACAACATGAACAATATTTATTTCCAGTAGTGTTTATTATTTTTAAAGGTATAAATAATTGATGGTTGTTATCAATTGGAAGAATTGCTTTACCATCAAGTAAAAAACAATGTTGAAATTTTGGATTTGCATCTAAATATTGATTAATTGGAAAACGAGAAAGAAATGATTGTAAATTGTAAGCACTCATAACGAATTTATCATTGACAATGGGCTTTTTTGTTTAAGGAATGTTTAAAATAAAGAAAAAAAAAGATATGAAATACATATTAAAATAAGCGGGGAAGAAATATTCGTAGTTGATTCGAAGTTAATACAACAAATTACTAAATTAAATCACAGCTTTTTCTTTCATATTCATTTAATTTATTTATCGAACTGTATGAACATAATCAAAATGAGGTATATTTCGAATAATAAAAATAATTGATAAAACTATATATCAGAGTTGTAATCAGTAACAGTAGACGGACGATTCGATAAAGAATTCCTTATTGGTTGATATACTTTTTTTTCTATAGATCAAAACATTTTTACTGATTTCAATGATTATCATTTATGTGAAAACATGCATTAGTATATTTGTATTAAGCAAATATCCATCAAAATACGCTTAATATATATATTTTATCAACTCCAGTCGGCATCAAATTATATTATTATAACAGAATAAAGCCATTGTTCATCACTGTAATTTATTATATAGTAAAACTTGTCTCAATGAAAATTCTGTTATACAGCACACTTTTCAGCTTCTTCGATCAAATTTAGCTGTTTTTACTCTCCCCCTTTGTCTATACCTCTTGATTCTGAATGGGAACACATTTTTTTTGGTTTCGTTGCATGGATTGATTTTATCGATGTGAACATCAACAGAAGACACTACTTGAATAAGTCATATGATTGAAGCTGTGAAAATGATTATCAAGAAATACATTAACTCTATGATTTAAATTCATAAAAGCAAAAACAAGAGGAAAAAAAAGAAAAAGAGTCGACAAAAACAGGCATGTTTGTCTGTTGAAGTATCTTCATAACTTTTTTACACTAGATATAGTATCTCACAATATCCTTACTATAGAGAAAAAAAGTGAATTTAATCAAGGGCAAAGAACTTGGTTTATCTTATTGTGCATTAAGGGATGAATTCCAAATTTTCGTCCGTCCTGTGTCAAATATTCCTAATTGTTTGATAAAGAAGTCTGTAAATCTACGTTTTCAAAATTTAATTAGAAGATGAAGTCGAAACTTAGTAAAACAGATCTTTTCAATATTTGTTGTACTCAGTCATATACATATGTCATTGATAATAACATTGCAACTTTAAATCAAATTCAAGTGCAAGAATTATATTCGTCAATATTTTTCAAAGTATATCATGTTAACAATAGATTTGTACTTTATTTATCATAAAAAAAGTCCGGCGTCAGATGGTTAAAACAAATGAGGTACGTATCCATTAGACCGAATAACAAAACAGCGCAAAAAAAGGAACGCAAAAAGAATGTCGATCGTATCAAAATGACGTAGAAATATATACCGTAAAAAAATATCGAAAATGTTTCTTATGTCATTAAATATCTATATTAAGAGCAGGGTGTGGAGTAAGAGTGTGGGCGTTAGAGTAGATGTAAAGATAAGACTAATATCTACAAGTACACTCCACAAGGACATTACGCATCTACATCATACGCCCATCTACATAACGAAATATACTGTCTTGCCATTAGTTTTCTTCTTGAATATTTTTTACACACTATTATCTCTTATTGATGTATGTTTACGTCTCTCACTTTTTTTACATACAATAAAATATCTTCATCTTACTGATCGAGAATCTTAAAATAATTTTTTTTTCGCGATTTTATCCTTCATTATTTCTTTTCAGCCACAATTAATATCGTTCAAGTATGAATATATTACTGATTATGAAACTAATCTAAACAAAAAAGTGAACCGTAGGTACAAGTAAGATTTTAGACAATCTATCAATGCTATTGTTTGCACTTGATTATATAGAATCTGGACGTGATGTTTGAAATTCATCTAGTTAAAAAAACCTCACGGTACTAGAAGTCAAAAACTATTTATTTAAATAATAAAAATCAAGGGAAAAGAGGCAGAAAGTGATTAAACTAGTATTTTGATTTATATTTCCTTGACCTCTCTCGTATGAACATTCAATTATCCTAAACGATTTTTGTCAGTCTTGATGATCTTCATAATGCCGAGATTCCACCGTACATTTATTTTCATTTCTCATTACTTATGTCACATATTTCGCAAACGCATAACAGATAACAAAGTAAATCCAATGTGAGAAGCTGAGTACATTTACAGATGATTTCTAATTTCTGCCCTACAAACATTTAGTTCGTGTATCAAGCTTAAATAGAATTTGTAGTCCTATGAAATTTTCTATTCATCAAGAGATCCCAAAAGAGAAAAACCTAGCAGTACAGTCGCTACAGTATTAAAACATTAAGCATGATGGAACTACTTTAATCATTGTAGGAAACCTTATCATCTACATGACAGAGCATGACCTGACCAAAAATAAGGATGTCTGATAATGTATTAGGTTACTATAGGCCATGGCAGACATATTGATCTCTGTTATAATCTATCCATGGATTAAAAGAACATTGGTATGTTTGCCAAGGTCATTCCGACAAGCAGGGGTAGATAGGTGTCATTTTCTTGCTATACACAACAAAACTCATTAACAATCATGTTTACTATAATAATGAAAGAGGAGATCTACGTAGTTTTTGTAGTGACTCAGAGATAGATATGACTAATCAAAAGGTTTATTTGACTGTTATAGGATACGAAAAGTGCAAAAATGACTCATCCTAGTTCAGTCCGATCTGACCAGGTTAGACTGTTACTCGTAAGGAGAAGACCGTTCCGATTTTAACTCTGTTACATATTGATCAAGTACAATGATATTTAATAGGTCAAGTTCGAATGTAGTTTAATATTAGATTGAAACAATATTAATGAGAATGATTGTCTTGACAATGGTGCCTATCTAATGTTAGTCGATGTTATAAATAAATTGTTTGCGTAAAATTTTCATAAAAAATAGAAAAACAAATAGTATACTTAAGAATCGAATGAATAGATTTTTTCTTCAAAACGATTTCATGTTCAAGTAAATTTATTCCTGTATTACTAGGTTAGACTGACCTTATATATTGATAAACATATAATAAAGATTCAAGAGTGTTTACATGTATTGATTATGTTATTCATTGACAAAAAGTAACCTAATTACCTTGTCAGAATAATTTGATAGCAATTGTCATACTAATATAACTGCTTATCTTTTCAACCGTACACGTTAACAATTATCTCAATTTTCCATTGAATAAACAAAGACTATTAAACTAAGAAGAAATATGCAACTTTTTTCTTCTCCATATAGCAACAATATTTCATTACTGACATTAAAAATGGACTCAAAGTTTTTGACATTTTATACAATCTTTCTAAGAACATTCTTACAACTAGGTTATCATATCCTCTTTCTGACCTTCGGATTTTGACATTATCATTGTCAATAAGACGACAATTGTATGCATAGCCCTTTTTTTTTTGTTCTCTAGTTAATGTGTCAAAAAGAAAACAATATTTTCGAAAGAAAAAGAAACTGTATTTTTACAATACAAAAGGTCTGTTTTATTTATATATATTTTTTTAGCATACTAAAATCTAGTCTCGTGTAGCAATATTTTATTCACAATATTGCTCTGTTATCTACAGTACATGTTTTCTTTTATCAGTTCACGCAAAAAACGAACGAAGAAAAACGTATGCTTACTTTACCAATCATTTATCTCAAAAAAAAAACTATGTTTAACTGAGTACTTTAAATAATATGAAGTACTTGAATATTTATAGTATTTTACCCAATGTTACGTGCAAAAGGGTAGATGTTTAATAAGTATACGAAAAATGACTATGACAAACATAAATCTTAAATGCATTATTACGTACTCTTCTATTTAAAAAAAATACTTCGCTACATTCTCTGATAAATTCGAACAAAAAGTATGTGCAGAATAACCAAATATCGATTATTTTTGTTCTTGTCATTCAATCACATTTATTAATTAAAACCAATTAAATTATATTAGTTAAAATTTTCTATACACTTTTACAATAAAACAAAAGTTTAAATATAACACTAATAAACAACAAAGTTGAAGATTAATTTCACGCACAATTACAACAATTATTTCTTATTGTCTCTTAGTAATTTTACTAAATAATCCGAATTTCGATCGCATTGTAATTCGAATATCCATAGCAATATTTTGATTTTTGGGCTCAAGTTCAAAATTACATTGTTGAATGAACATAGCTAATATAACTTTTGCTTCAAGTAATGCAAAATTTTGACCGATACAATTACGTGGCCCTGAAGCAAAAGGTAAATAACAATAAGGATGAGCCAATTTAGGTCTGAGACCCGTTATTGGATCTCGCATCCATCGAGTATAATCAAATTCAAGTGGTCGAGGCCAATATTTAGGTTGACGATGAATTAAATATGTATTGATTAGAATAGTGGCATCAATAGGTATATAAAATTGATGATGTGAATTACTAATAATATGTTCACGTATACATTGACGAACAAAATATGGTATTGGTGGATATAAACGTAATGTTTCATATATAACAGATTCACAAATATTTAACTCACTTAACATTTCATATGTTGGAATCATACCATTAGGTAAAACTCGATCAACTTCCTCTTGACAAGCACATAATACAGATGGATTTGTCATTAATACATACATAATCCATGCCATAAGATCACCTGTTGATTGATGACCAGCAAGAACAAAGACCATTGCTTCTTGTCGAATTTCTTCATCTGTAAAATGTTTTCCATGACTATCAACAGCTTGTAAAAGTAAATCAAGAATATCTGCACCTTCACACATATTTTTTGTACGACCTTGTTTTCTATCAGCAATAATACGTTCAACATAATTTGAAGCTTTTTCACAGCCTCTGTCAACAATATCTTTACCCCAAAATGGTAATTTTGAAAATAATGGAATTTGATCAATTAATAATAATGTTCGATTAATAATAGCATCTAATGCTGCAATAAATGCTTCACAAACAATCTCTGTTGCATCAGTCATTGTTTCAATATTTTCACCAAATGCACTTGATGCAATTATTGTTAATGTAAGAAGACTAAGTTCTTTTTGTAAATTAATTGATTCTTTACATGATTCAAGTAGTCTATTAATGGTTTTAGTTGTATGATCTGTCATAATTGATACCATTGAACGAAGATTTTCAGAATGAAAGCCAGGATTTAACATTTTTCTTGCCCGTTCATGTTCATTTCCATTACTGATTAATAGATTATGTAAACCAATAAGTGGTTTAAGTCGATAAATAAGATCAAGTGGTTTGTAATAATTTTGTGCATGTGCTCGTCCAAGAATATCACCAACTAATTCAGCATCTTGTATAACAAGACGTGGATATAAACCAAGACTAAACATATATATTGAACCATGTTTTGTACATAATTCTTCATGAAACTCCATGATTTTATTCTGTTTTCGATATTGATACAATTTAGGTAACTGACCAAGGAAAGGGACAAAAGGCTCACATGGTATACCTTGATCTCGTAGTACATTGTAGATCTGTTTTCCTGGACGAACCAACTTCCAATATATGATATATATCAAAACAAAGATAAGAATGGCAAAGGCAGACAGAATTTGAAGAAACATAAGAATGCTTTAGATGAATATGGTACTTTGAATGATTGAGACGCGCCGGTTAAGTTATATATATACATGTTTTTTCCTTTTTTTTCATGAGAAGAAAGAAAAGAAAAAAATTGTTTTGTTTATCAACTGTTAACATTTATGACGTCTGTCCTTGGTCACAGTTAATATCTAATATCGACCGGCAGTATAACAAACCGAACAAAATTTCTTGAGTACTTTTACTTAATTTGTGTTTTCCGTTCATGACGAAACCGATGATTGTACCTGTACAAATAAAAATAGCCGCTTCGAACAGAAAAGAAAATATTTATCTATTTCTTTTTTATAATAATTAGAAAAAAACACAATTTTTTCACCTACAATTTTTTCTTTTCTTCACTTATCTACTATTTTCTAAAGAATCTTAATAAAATAAATAAATATATCATGATTTAATAAAATAAATAAATAAATACTTCATGATTTACTTTTTTCCTAAAAGAAAAAAAAATAACCTAGAAAATGTCGCTTCATTAATGAATTTTGACAGATGAAATGTACGTAATTAGTTATTATTTGTTGAAGAATCATGGTTATTCATTTATTTATCTGCTCCGATGGTATTTTGACCTTTCTTGTGCGGTACATGAAACGAAGGCTTGTTGTTTGTTCGTGACATTTTTTGAAATAATAGAGTGAAAAAATGTATTATTAAAAACATCTTTCCTGTCAAAAACATTCATAACTATGGAAACAAATATTTAATTAATATCATTAAAAATTTTCTTGTCTTTATAAAAGACCTATCTGATGAGAATGAAGGAAAAGAAAAGCTTATAATATATGAAGAATTATTTATTTGCATGAATAGTGTTAATCATAAGGATGAAAATGTTTGTTGCTACTTAGTTTCACCGATGAACATCTTTGTATGTCTTGTAAATGACAGGAAAATGCGATTATATATGTAAGAAAAAGGCATATGTCGTTTATAATTTTTAAAAAACAAAGCAAGAGGCAGAGCAGAAAAAATTAGATGCATATCGTATTGCCTTCACTCATTTAAATTAAATGAACTTGTAAAAACAACTTATAACATAAATTGAATGACGAAATGAATGCTGTTTCTTATAAGCAAATATCTTATTTGTGAACAGGTGTTGTGTACTCCTTATATATATATATATTCAGAAAATTATATTTAAAAACATCTGTTGATTTTACAATAAAATTAAAATACTTTCAACACCTGACTGGAAATGAAAACTATTCAAATAATAGTAACTGTATATATTTAGGCGTGAGTGAACCATCCTATTACAAAAAAAGTTTTATCATCATCTAGTTATCGTTTATCACCATACCGATTTAATACTATTAAATAACGAATCCATGTACTTCAAGTGACTATTCTCGAGCTGCGTATATCGCTGACAGAACGATAGTGAAGATTTATATTGACTAGGTGAATGAGTGAATATATAGGTAGTGGGTATTTTTATTATTACTAATTATGTGTGTATTCTATGACCTCGTCAATATTTACTTAATCGTTTTGATTCGTATCATGATGTGAAATTCAATATTTATTGTATAATAAGATAACAGATGTTGTTCGATATTGATTAAATCAAATAAATATTTGTTCTTTTCTTTTTGTTTGCAAAATACTGATACAATTATGAAACAAAAAAAGCTCTCATTATAGAAGAAAAATCTAGTCAAAAAATTTTCAATGATATTACCATAATGATTATTCTTCGCTGTTTAAAACGAATAAATTAACGTACGTTAAAATGTTCTTTCAGTCTATTTATTGATTCTCTTTTTCAATACATCTGACCTTCAAACATTTCGTTTTCTTGTTTTTAACTTGGGAACAATCTAAATGGCAACAGTCTATGAGTACATATCGAGTACTATAATAAGTTCAATTAATTCAATATGATGATCTCACAATAAATACGAAATAAATTTCATTTGATACCAAATTGATTATTAGAAAAAATCGTAATTTACATTGACTTCTATGATAATCATATTATAATATCTATTTTTCATAGAAAAAGTGCATCAGACATATGTCAAATTTCATTCATAAATAATAAGTAGTATTAAATAAAAAGTGAGAAAATTCTTGTTCACTACTATCAAATATACCTCATCATAAACAATACAAAATACAGATAAATTTTATATTTATTATTATATGTTAAATAGTTGATCTTAGACATCAATATAACATTAACATAGATTTACATCAATTCTATCAGTGAAGCATTTATTTTTATTTTTAAATTTCTAATCAAAAGATTACTGAATGAATGTTTTAAATCATAACGATCTAACTTCAATAAAATAAACCTCAAACAAAATGGTAAAGAATTATGCAAATGAGAAAAAAGAGCATAAAGAAAATTTAAAAATATATTCATATGATCGTAAATAATCTCGATAGATGAAATGAATATTCATTATAAATTGTTTTAAACTATATCACAAAAAAAAAACAAGACAAGAAAAAGTAATTCTTTTATGGAATGCACAAAGACAAACAATTTTAGTTCTATTCTATTTTTTTGTTAAGTCATCTTGTTCAATATTTAATAAATTTATTGATTGTTGTTGTTGATCAATACTTTGATTTCTTAGAGTTATATTTGGACTTGTATTGCGTTGCTGTATATAATAGCTAATATTTTCTACTAATGTATTTCGTCGTCTTGCAGCACGTTTACGAACTAATTTTGCTAATTCAAAACTTGTTTCACGAAAATTTGCTCCAAATATATAATAGAAAAAAAGATTTGCTGATGCATTTATTGTTTGTAAAAAATTAACTGTTGTATTAAATAAACGTCGAGAACGACATTTATCATATAATATATTTTTATTAGAATTAAAATTTTTACTTCCATAATCATCATATGATGTTAACGATAATTTTGTTTCAAATATATGATTAATTAACATTGGAAAACGACAAATAAAAAATAATAAAACAACACCGATTAACATTGATGTTATACCACGTTCACGTTGCTCATTATTTTGTGTTGATAATGCTGATGTTAAATTTAAATGTCGACGACGATTTAAATAAAATTTACGCAGTAGTTTTATTGTAAAGAAATTTATAAATATAAGTAATAGAAATGGGAGCGCGTATACAACAGGAATGTAAAGCCATATATGAATTATTTTACGAAATAATTGATTTTCACCAATTGATGTTACTAAAATAACAAATAAATTGAAAAATAAGACAAGAATTTTCTTAGTTGAATTTTATTTTTACGTTTTAATTGTACACGATTATTTTCATTTAATTCAACTCGATGTTTAAACCAATGTGGTAAAATAAATAAAGTTGAACATATTGTGATTACTGTTATAACACGAAGAGAATTTCGTACGGTACAAATTGTTTCAGCTTGTAGACCATATGATAAATAAAGAAAACGATCAAATGATACAGCTACAGTATAATAAATTGAACATAATTGTAAAGTATTCATTAATGGAACTATATATGGAGAACATCTAAGAAAAATGGTAAAGAAAAAAACAAAGTTTTTAAAAAATAAATTATTTCATTTTCTTTCACCGTTGAACCAAATCATCATATTCATGATAAGCATTTTCATCTCGATTGGCTAAAAACTTCGGAATAATAAGTGTAAATCGAAATGAATTGACACCAAAATAAAGTATTAGCCAGGCAAGATTAACAATTGAAAGTGCAAGCAGATAAATATTAGTTGAAAGATAACGCATACGACGATTGCCTAATACTAATATTGAAAGACCATTACTAAATATACCAAAGAGAACCACAAGACATGATATCCATCCACCAAGAATATATTGAACATGTAGTACGTGCCGTTCATCCGAAATACTACAAGCCAAATTCTTTTGATCGCTATTATTCATCGTCACGTTTTATTTTATTTGAATCCACTAATCAAATAAATCTAATAGAAAACTAAAAGCCCAATAAATACTAATGAAAGTGAATCTCTTGTTTTATATTCTTTTATTGTAGATAGAAAAAGAAAAACTTAGTTGAGATACAAAAATGACATGAAATACCTCGAAAGAAGATACTATTTAAATATGACATAAAAGTGTCACATCAGATTTCCTCTGTTTTTGATCCGCAGAGACGCAATTGTTTTTGCATGAATGAATATAATATAGCGTAGGCGATTAGAAAAAAAAAGCAGCAGAAAAAATTTAGATCTTTCTTTTTTTTGTCTCCGCTAGCTATAATCAAGGCCTAAACAATAAAGTAATCTAAAAGGATTATGTCTCTGTTTTGTTTAGTTCTTCATTGACATCAGGAAATGATTGAAAAATAATATGCCAGAACGAAAGAAAAAATACTAACAGTTTGGTGAACAATAAATTGTTATGATATGTCCCATTTATGATAATCAATATCGTTTAACAGGTTTATATGCATACATATATATATGCATTACACTAAGATTCGGTAATTGCAAAAAAAAACTCCAAATGAATAATGATCAAGAAAAAATAATAAATAGAACTTATCACATATATTAAAGGAAGAGATCTTATCCAGTTTCTTTAACCAGAGAAAAAAAACAGCTGAATATACTATCGAATAGATAATCTATTATGAGACACTTACTGAATCAACTGCGAATGACGTATATGTGATGCTAATGGCACACTTTTTTTTGTACAACCTCTCATTGCGATTCTCAGATGATATGATTTGCTCTTGATATTTCTTTTTTTTATTATGGCATATTCCACACGGTTCCGGATGTATTCTACGAGTGACATTTGTCAGTAAGATTAATTCATTTATTTACTGTAACAAAAATATGTTCTCTGTTTATTCAAAGTAGATAACGTTTCCACCAAGGCTTACCTCTTCTACCAACTTGATGTACGATAAAAATAAATATGTGAGACGGAAGCAAAATGTCACAAAAAGATTATTGCAGATTATAGAAGTCTTTTTTTGTTTTATTTTTTTGTCAAAATGCGTATTGTAAAAGCAACATAGAGGAAATGTATTGATCATCGGCTGTTTCCTCTTTGCTCCTGCTTTCTTTTTCTCTCTTTGAATGATTGATTCAACGGGAAAGGCAAAAAAAAATAGATAAGAAGAACAACTATTCTGATCGTTTAGTTTTTCTATTCCTAGAACTATTTTATATAATCATTCTATATGCAAGAACATGCACTAACCATAAATGTGTTTTTCCTATTCAGTAATGAATGCATTGGTTATATTAATGAACAAAGAGCGAGAAAAAAAACAAACTACGTAATTCATTTCAGTAAATAGATTGATCATTTTTCGAGACATGCTATGATAATTTAAATAAATATAGATGTATCCATACAAAAATATATCTTTTTAATATTTATGATCGAATACAAAATAAGAATACTTATACAATATCGAAATGACAAAAAAATAATAATACAAAGATGTCCCTGCAAGACTCATCACGGAATAAGAGTCTAGAGAGAATTGAGCCGTATGGTAAAACAATAGACGTTCATCAGTTACAAAGGACATTCAATCGTTTTGTCAAAATTAGAGCAAAAAAATTGTTTTTTGAGCGAAAAGAAAATGCTTAACAACAAACATTAATTAATAAAAAAAATATGTATAAATATATATATATTATATTTGAGTTTCTTTAACTTAATATAAATGTCTTCTCAAAACATCTATTGATCAAAAGTGATCATCGATCTAATTATCTTAAATTCTATATTTTTTTCTCTATTACATTAATATATATAAATGGAAGAACAACATTCTATGATAAATAATAATAATAATAATTCAAATGAAATTGTTCAAATAACGTCACTATCAAATTCTCGTCATTTACAAATTCGTCGAGGTATTTTACGACAAACAACAAATTTACGTTCATCACCATATAATGCAACCTTATCAAATTTAAGACGACGACAAACATCTCTTATAGCTTCTCAAACTATAAATAATTTAATAAGTAATATTGATAATAATGATATTACTAATAATAATATTCAAACTAATGTTAATATATCATCTATTGAACAAGATGATATTGAAATGTTTATACCAGAAAATGAAATAGTTCAAAATAATTTTCTTGTTACATCTGATGATGAAAATGATAATGAAAATTTTGAAGTATTAGTTGATTTTTCAAATACATCACCAATAGATTTAACTATTACAAATGGTAAGTTTATATGAAATATTAATATGATTATTAGACTAGAATCTAATTATGTATGTTATATTTTTTTAAAAGAAAATCATAATTCAAATAATGAACAAAGTCAATCTTATCATTCATTATCAACTATTGATTTTGATCCAGATGATGATGATAATGATGATGATCATCGTTTTTATTATACATCAACATCCATACCTGTTCTTGATTATTCATCATCATCATCATCATCAACAACAACAACAACTGAACCATTAATTATTCACAACAACCAAATTGATATGACACAACATCAATATTATGATGAATATTCACCATCAATCAATCATAATTCAAATAATAATGAAGATTTAAGTATTGAAATTATATTAGAAACTGCACAAAATAATACATTAACAAGAACACCACGACGAAGACGTTCAATTATTTCATCAAGTATTCGAAATAATCGAGGTTTACGTTTATCAGATATATTAAGTATACCACAAAAAATTTATAGTTCATTAAAAGAACGATTTGATGATAAATATCAACAAACAATTATGATTAATACACAATGTTATATTTGTTTAGAAGATTTTCAATCTATTGATTCAATTAAAATACTTAATTGTCAACATATTTTTCATAGGTATTTTATTACAATTTTCAAAAAAAAAATCAATCATTTTGGTTTTTTTTTGTCTTTTTTCCAGTGAATGTATCAACGAATGGTTACGTTCTCATTCAAATTGTGCTTATTGTCGAACAACTGTTCTTATTGATATGTTACGATCATCATCAATAACAACAACACGACGTCGACAAAGAACACGTGTAAGACGAAATCATAATACAATTACAGAATCTCCTACAAATAATTCACTTCAATCAATTTCTATCGAATCTTCGACGTTTGAACAACAACAATCTTAAACGAATTTTTTTTTACAATAAGTTTTAATTTTTTTTTCTATATTCAACAATATTTCGAAATACTTAGACAGAGTTTTGTACTTTTTCTACAATGATAGTGAATAGTAGTATGAATTGGTTGAGAAGATCAGAAACGATTCAAAAAATGAATGAACATTTTGTTTTTCGTATCTATCTTTATAAGTGAATTTTAATATAGAATAATATCTATACGAATATAATAAGTTTTATAAATTATATACATTACTAAGACTTTACTGAATTTTATTGAGAAATCATGGAGTATATTTTTGTAATGATTTTATATCAACATTAATTATATTGAATAATTTATGTTGATAGAAAGTTTTATATAAATACACTTTAGTTTAATAAATAAGAACTAAATAATTAATGAAATTCAATATATATTAAATTCATATGCATAGGAATGAAACACTTTTTCACATCGAGTTCAACAGTTTTGGATCTAAATTCAATTTAATAAACGTGTTTCATACTCAAGTCACAAGCTGAATCGTACTTCTAATTTCAAACAAGTCTTCACTCTCAATCTGACAGTCGCTCTGAAGATACGAGATATTTTTTATCGATTATCTATATTGTACTATTAACAAGTTTGACATATTTCTATGGCAATCTTGATAATGATCTTATAATAATCAAGTTATGCATGGTTGTCAGTTTTTACAGTGTGATCCATTGAGTCGATCTCGAACTTGAATTTAGGCTCAGTGAATTGAGAATTTTAGGCCTAGATGTCAGTCCTGAATTAATTCTGCGAACTCTACAACCTGAACATTTACATTAGAATGGAAATATAAAATCATTTTTTTGTTAGTTTTACAGTGTTTTTAATGCGTTGATAAACCATTTTTCATAGTTACGTCTCTTTCTTTATTAGGTATAAATCGTTGTTTTTTTTTTCAGTGATTCAAAAATAATTCTGATGATTATAATCAACTGCTTTTGTCTTATAGTTTTGCTATATGTTTTTTTTATATAGAAAATAAGCGAAACTTACTTCGATGATTGTCTTAATGTTAGGCCTGCCATATTGTGATCTTCTTGATCGTAGTTGATTCCATAAATATACGATTGCTTTCTATCCTCAACATCTCTATAGACTCTACTACTCTATTCCCAACTTTATTTCTTGTTAGCGTTTAATATTTTAGCTGTTATTACTAAATAGCATCATGCTCTATATCATTCGAACGGAAATAGAGTCATTTAAGATATCCTGAGGGAATTATCAAAATAGGAAACGACTGACTCCAATAATTGAAGTCATTTTACAATCAAAAGAATCACGAAATAAGTTATTTTCTAGAAAACAACAGCCCATTTCGTTAGTTATAATTATTTGTAATCATGTAACATTGCTCGAAATTATGAAATAGACTCAATCCTCATCGACTTTAATCGATGAAAATTTTGTCTAAGAATAGTATGCATAGAAATAAATTTATTCTCTTCAATGTAATTCACTATTTTATATTAACATCAAATAAATTCAGTGTTATATGAATGCTTGCAAGTGTTTTTCACTGATTCTATTGACTGCTTCCTAGTGATTATATTGAATCCAACACTACAAAGTTAAGCATTTCGTTCTCGATCATTCTTTAAAAAATTAGACATGAGTCTAATAGATCACATATTTCTTATCTCGTGTATTCAATCGAATTCAACAATATTTATGTAAAAAAGAAAGACAAATACTGTTTGAATTCGATATATGGCTACAATAGACGAACAAATAAAATACCAATAATTGACATGCAAAGAAATATATTGTAAAGAAAATTTGAACAAGTCGATTATCACGTATTGAATCATGTTTGTTTTTGTTCATATGGCCAATCAGCTAAACATATAGTTTTATTTGAATTATATAAACCATATTTACGAATGATTTCAATCGTAGCATCAGGTACAATATATTTAACACTTAAACCTTTTTCTAATCTTTTTCGTATATTTGTTGCTGATATATCATTAACAACCCAATCTTGTATAATGTCAATATGTTGTTTCCATAGATCAGGCATGCCTTCTGTAACATCGGATACAGTTGCACCACCTTGACCAGATTCTGGAGCACTTAAACGAGTTATACAAGCAAGACCATAATTTGTCATTATTTCATCAATATCTTTTGGTATCCAAATGTTTGGATTTAACATTGAACGTGCAACATCAGCACCTAAATAGAATAATTTTTAGTTTTTTAAAAACAAAAACAAAAACAAAAATTAAAACTTAAATTTAGGTTACCTGACAATAAACGAAGTTCAGTATTTTCACCATATCGTTTTTTTATATCTTCATAATGATGATCAAGTACTAGTCTTGTTCGTGTCCAAGATGTTTGTTTAGCTTCCCAAGTATCAATACGAAGCCAATGATCATTACGTATAGCTGCTTGAAGCATTTCAATACGATGCTCTACTTTGGCTAGACCTGCTTTACCATAAGAATCACTTACTGGAGATATTATTCCTAGCAAAAAAAAAACAAAACATTATTATTATGAGAATATATACTTAGGAATGTTAAATTATATAGAACCTTCAAGAACTTGAATTGATTGAAGATGATAATAATCACGAGCTAATTCAAGCATACGTAAATGAGCTATAGTTACTGGATTGAATGAACCAGTTAGAAGAAACACCAAGCGCTTAATTGGACGTGAAACTAAAAGATAGATTAAATCATTTTAATTTTATTTCTTTTTAGAGTGAAAACTATCTTTTGTTCAATAAAAAATATATATTAACAGCACTTCATCTTTTCCCAGGTGTCTCAAGAATGACTCGACCTCAAATTAGAAAATTTTCAGGATAGATAGATGTTGATTAATAGAGTAAACGTTATCGTATAGACAGAATTCTTAGATAGTTTCTTCTATGAAATATAGGGAATGAAGAGGGCCCAAAACGACTTGATGTTCTCCGTTCTGCAATCAGCCTACATTGATTCTTTTTGAATGACTTTTTTGTAATAATTAGGACTAAATTGGGATTTAAAATGTTTTTTTTTGAAGAATATAATTTTCGTGCCGTAGAAGGACCAAAACACTGAACATCTGTCAAAAAACGTATTTCTTCATCTAGAACAAATTTTGTTAGGTCTGCCAAAAATCACTAGAACATTATCTTAAGACAAAAAAAATATATACACCCAAAAATTGATCCTAGTTGTTACACAAAAAATTTCAGCGCGATCGGTCCAAGCATGTAGAAGGAAAACTAGGAAAACTTCAATTTTTCCGTTCAAAAATTGATTTTGAATCACGTAACGAAGCGCCGTTAAAGCCATCAGTGCAAAATGAGCGATAGAGTGTTAGTGTTCATAAGCATGTGGATGCACTAGCGCCACAAGAGATAGCAATTATTTCTTCTAAAAACACTTTGAATAAGCAATAGAAAATTACATCTTCCCAGAATATTCCAGGCCTGTTGTTTTGAGTAAAACGCCTTAATCGAATATGTATATCCCCTTGAAGAAAATAATTCGACTTGATAATTTCAGCATATTATTTCTATAAACCTACGTTTTGAGAAAAGCAGTTACATTTTAGAGATAGCCTGCAGAATTCTTTACAAACCTATAGGAGTGACGAGTATGCGCATTGTACTATTAGAGAAAAAACTGATAAAAATAAATTTAATAATAACAGAAAACTAAGTGATGTATTTGATATAACCATTTCGAATGTGTGTGAAACTAATACTTTTCTAACGCTGCTCTATGTCAACATTGGAATCGACATGTGTATCGCTTATTTTGACGAAATTCATAGGGCGCTTCAATGATTATGGAAATCAACAACTCATAAGTGTATTCGTTCACTTAAAGTCGTGTTAAGTTAGCGCTAGATATCTTTTTCCGATGTAACTAAGGTACAGAAATTATGATATTGCTATATAGGTGTCGGTACATAATCGATTTCTGTATGTTTTTTTCCATACATCACTTAACCTTAGCGTATAATTGACTGAAAAAAGTGGCGCGCTATACTTTGTTAGTAATATTGAATTTTCTTTTGAACAGAGAAAAAGTTTTGTTTGATTCTTTGGCATATTACTCTAGTGTATGAATTGAAAAATAGCAGTCTAATTTTTATGAAAAAAAATTTCAATTTTCATTCAGTTATAGCAATAACAAAATATAAAAAAATCATTCTAAGTGTAATATGAATGTCATTATAATTTTGTGCAAAGTTTTTGTACTAATGAATTTTAAGACACAAACCTTTTTTAAAGCCTCAAATTATTTTTGCTCTTTTTTTCTTTGATATTAAATTCGATCCGTACATCAAACTTCGTATAAAAGTAAAACTAGAGTCGTATTCTGAAAGCTCTTGACAGGTTTTTCAATCCTAGTTTCAAAAAGTATTTTAAAAGAATTACAATGGAACAACAAAAAGAAATTAGTTTCCCCTTGACAGATGATATGTTAGCAGCTACGTATTTGACACTATTGTTATGGTTTCTCGGAGACTTGATTTTTTCAAAAATGAATGACCATCTTTAGACTAGTAAGACAAAAAATTCATTAAAATCATTTGAGTAAAATTCAATTTATAGGCATTTTTCTTTTGGGCACATCACGGCAAAATGACTCTGTCATCAAGTTCTCTAAAGATTCATTTTATTGTTTCTTTTTCATACACTTTTTAATACAGCACCATTTCAATTATTTGATGACAAATATTTCGAATATTGTTAATGTACTTTCAGTCACACACGTTCACTCTCAATTACTCGACATAATTCATACAATAGCTCATGAATGGTTATCTAGTAATCCAATAAGATGTATAAATAATTACTCGTCTATTAGTTCGGATACTAATTTAATTCAGGCATTTTTTGTCTTTGATGAAGCACTATGCACAGAAATATTGTCCAAATTTATCATCAAATAATTGATAGTCAAAGACTGGCAAAAGTACAGAAGGATAGAAAATCTCAGGCATTTTCAAAATATGTATACTCACTATCGTAACAGTATGCTCCTACATTAAAAAAAAATTTGAAAAAATGCATGAAAAATAAACAACTGATGTATTTAAGGACATTCTAATCGTGAAGATACCTTCTTAGTACTTGAATTTCTATTTTACTGAACAAGTGCAATCCAAATCGTATGTATATATAGGGTTGTAGAAAATTTCGTGCGTTATCAGACTATATAATTACTTTTATATGAGTAATACTAGCCATGATTTTTTTAAAAATATTAAGTTTAAATATTTTTTTCGGGCGAATATATATTGAATACGACTCTGGAAATCATGTACAAGAATTTGCTCTTAATTATAAACCACCGAATCCTAAGTTTTCGTGCGCGGATGCGACCGAGTTCGAAACCAAGCCTATGGCTTCTATCCATGGTCTCATGGTTTTATTTGTTGCCATCCTGATGAATGCAGTTTCTTTCATATATAGTGAGTACCAAAATTATTCATTAAGGTTTATTTTCGGTTTTGTTCAATGCCATAAGCGTTAGAAAAAATCCAAATACTGCTTCGAATAGAGAAAATCGCTACTACCAAGAATATAAGGAAATAAAAATTATGGCTTGTATTTATTTGAGCAATAAAAATATTGGAATGAGCAGTAATTTATACATGATTTGGCAATAATGTGTGAGCAGTAAAAAAACTTGATTTGAGCAATATTATAAAATTAAATGAGCAATATTATAACATTAAATGAGCAACATTATAATATTATATAAGCAATATTATAATACTATATAAGCAATATTATAATATGAAATGGGCAATAAATAATTTGCTATATGGCAATATCAATTTCATATTCGAACAATAAAAGAGAAAAAATGCACTATTATGTCTGTGATTGGCAAGAAACAGAAAGAAAAATGAAGTATATATAACTGATCATTGTACCAATAAAGGGTTTTTTACTTTCGATGGTCTGACTCTTTTTCTTTTCGAACAAATTTCCACTATTTTGCCTTAGGTAGAGGCCTGCAACCTTGTAATCTAGTTAAGATGCCAATGTAGCATACCTGTCAAACACGAGAAGACGCGTGAAGACCGCAATATCGGGATGAGAGAGATAGTGACTGTGTAAAGCCAGTGAGATTGTGGATTAGGGTCTTTTGTTATTACAAAGTATCGACGCCATATAAAACTTCATTGGAACCTCATAGATCCTGCTAGACCCGATCGATTCTACTAGACTCTTGTAGGTTCTTTAGACCCTGGTAGGTATTGTAATCCTGCTAAATCCTGTATAGTCTGCTACAATCTGTGGGCCCTGCTAGAGTCTGTTAGCCCTGCTAGATGCTGCTAGACTGTGAGCCCTGCTAAATCCTGCTAGACTCTGTAGACTCTTGCAGGTCAAGCTCGATCATGCTAGACCCTTGGAAACCACCGAGATCCTGCTAAACCCTACTAGACTTTGTAGACCCTTCTAGATCATGCTAGGTTCTGATAGACTCTATAGGCCCTTCTAGACCTGCTAGACCATGCTAGATCCTTGAAAACCATTGAGAATCTGTAAAACCCTGCTAGATCATGCTAGACTCTGTAGACCGTTGTAGACCACGCTCGTTCCTGCTTGACTTCCGTAATTCGTAGAACATTTAGAACCTGTCCATGCAAATGATCAAATAATGAGTTATTTTGTACTTCAATTCCATCATGAACTCGGAGCTTGAGAAGACCTTTACCATTATAAGTAACGGAACTATTATTGTTCCTTTTATATACATTTTACGCTTTATTCAAATTATTTATTGCTCATTCCAATTAATTATTGCTCATTCAATATATTTATTGCCCGTTCAATATATTTATTGCTCATTCAATATATTTATTGCTCATTCAATATATTTATTGCTCATTCAATTTTTTTATTGCTAAATTTCATTACTGCTCATTTCAATTTTTTTATTGCTCAATTAAATATAAGTCAAAAATGATTATCAATTTCGAAAAGAAAGCAACTCCAGAAAATCAAAACCTTAATTTTTCAACACCTCTAGACTAAATAGAAAGATAAAGCAAATCATCTTCTACAAAAATGAGACATGAATGAGTTTTCTGCGACGATTTATTGCTGAGGTATAGCAGATTGATTGAAAATCAAAAAAAATGGTTTTTCTTTACGAAATTGAAAACAAAGCGACTTTAAGGACTTCCGTAAGATTGCTGTATTTCAGTCAAAAAACGAAAACGACAACTCTACGACGTCTCATTCTATAAAGAATTATTTGCTCTATCATTCTACATAGTCTAAACAAAATTACACATACTCGTTCTAGGTGTTGAAAAACTATCCTTTTGGTATTCAATGATCCTTGTCTTTGAAAACTTAATTAGAATTTTTATTCCTGTATATTTCTTTTAGAAACAATTATCTCTATTTGAACCACTATTCAGGTTCTTTTTATTGCCTACGGTAAGAAAAAAATAAAAGAAAAAAACCTGGTTGAATAATTTTCGTGCTTACACTGTATATCTGATATGTGATTATTAAAGCAATCTTCAAAATTTATGAATCAATATAAAAGAATAGCATGATCGTAAAGCGGCTTCCATCTCTCTCTCTCAGCCTCACTGTATGATACTTGATGACTTTAATAAAAAGAATTGAAATCTAATTAATCAAAATTTAACGAGTGAAATATGATGATTAATCTTGTTTCTTGTTTTTTATCAATAAAAGTGCTCTTATCATTTGGCATTTATATTTTATTCTTGTTTTCTTTTTAACAAAATTTACAACTTAGATTTTTTAAATTAAAATCAATTTATTCAAAAAAAATCAAACTTATCTATCACTTCGAAATCAGAGAATATATCAATTAATTGCTAAAATTAATAGTTAGACAATCTGAATGATAGCATCAATATCCGCCATAGCGATTATTATATGTGAAATTTTTTTGAAGAAAAAAACAAATTATTTAAATTTCATACAACCTCTTACATAAATGCCAAGGTGAGAACACTATAGTCAGCAAATGAAAGGTAATGACAAAAAGAATGAGTATATTTCCTAAATTTTATTCTGTAAATATTTTTTTCAGTGGAAAATGTTACACTAATTTGAAGCTCGTAATGCATTGTCAGATGATGCAAACCTTCATAGACGTATCATATTTTGGAAAAAAATTGAATTCAACCGACAAAAGTTTTCCTGTTATAATGACAGCTATTGTGGGAAAGAAGACAATATAGACGTATTCAAAACTTTATTGAATGATCCTACGTAACCCATATTCACAAGTAATACTCGTTTCGAATATGGGCGTATAAATGTTCTGCCTATTGTATCTTTAGGAGTACTGAAGGATTTTTTTTGACAAACGCAATAAATTATTTTCAATGGTGGGCTAACAGCTGTGTTTTTAATCTATAAATTCCTTTGCAAATATGATAATAATCATGGGCATCCATCGTTTTGTAAATCGAACAGTTCTCTAGAAAATCAGATATTAAACTAGGCTGCAGCTTTTACTCAACGAAGACTACAGGCATTTTTTCAAGAGCCCCTTTCAACGTAAAAATGATTGTCGAGTTTATACAAATGAATGTTTAGCAAAAACGATAATCGAGATGTCTTATCGAAAGACAATAAAAACTTAAATAATGCATTTTGTATAGTAGCTTCTTATCTACAAACTGATATATAAATCAATATTCTGACTTTTAGTTTTGAAACACAATAATAAAAATAGGAAGATTTTTCGCCCAAAGTAATTTATTGAATTTTTCATAGATAATTTCATTGTTCAAAATTTCTAAGTCGATATTCAAAAAGAGCATAAACACTCATAATTTTTGATATTTTCTAGTAGGTTAAAAATTAACATAAATCTTGTCTAATTTCTCACCACCCGTTAATAATCTCCTCTGATTAAAGTGATTACTTTAACTAAGCAATTGTAAAGAAGGATGCAGTCTTTTTCGTCAACTACCTACGCCCTCTTTGTTACTAATATTTACTTTTTTTTGTGTAATTCTTTTGCCTCATTAATTGCTGTAAAAGTAAACCTTGCATTTCTTATACTATGTGTCATTGTATCAATAACAGATTTGTTGACAAAAAAAATTTATATCCATTTTTTTTTCAATGGTGAAATTATTTAGCTTTTTGAAGACTGTTCGTCAACAATTCTTGTAATCAAGGATTTTTAAAAGAATACAAGTACTCTAGAGAAATTATGTTCTACGCTGTTTTGAACGATTTGTTACAGTTGTCACTACCAACATTCATAGAAAGAAAAAAATTTAATAGAACGAAAATCACATCTCTATATGACCTCTGTTTAAAAATCGACCAATACTATGGTTTACCTTATGAACTCGTACATTTGTTCGATACATATAGAAAAGAAAAAAGAACGAATTTAATTAAACTCTTTCTATATCATATTATTTTTATCGTTCGTTTATATCTGAACTTTTCAATATTAAAATATGAACATGTTACAATTAATGTTCTTCGTAATATTTTTTACGATATTCTTAAATCAACAAGCAATATATGCAGGTAAAGTTAAGTAAAATAAACATTAAATAAAACAAAACATATTTACATCGACTAGGAAGGATTTGATCTGATTGTTGATTACACGGTTCACAGCCATCTTGTCTAGCTTGAACTGCTTTTTCAGCATCATCTAAAGTCTTTTCAGATTTTGTTGATGTCATCTAAAGGAAAAAATACAAAGAAAAGTTCTTTTTTTTATATCGATTACATTTATAATCTGAGGAAAAGAACGGAAGAAAAAGAAAGAGAAAAAAAAACCAAAAGTTATTTTCTAAACAATAATATTGCTTGAGAAAAAAAAATTATAACTTAAAAAATATGTTTTAATATTTGATATATACGATCAATATTTCTATTAAATATTTTTAGTTCAAGAACTTTATGGTCAATCGTCAGGCCGTATACGATCTCCATCTATGAATGATATAAATCCATCTAAAATACAAAATGATTTTTTAAAAGTAAATACTAGACAATTAGATAAAATATCATTTTCACGTGGAATATCTCCAACATTTATTCAATCACGTCATTTTCATTTTGACCAATTATCACGTGATAATCGTGATCTTGGTCATCCGTCAATATATCAATCTCAAATTTCATCACCTTATTCTTATAAATATAGTGGAATTCGTACATACTTAGCTGGAACAAATCAAGAAGGATGCCGTTTAAAAGATAATTATTGTTCACATGATTATCAATGTTGTTCAGGTAAATGTCGATGTGTTAGATGGTCGATTATGGGAAAAATGTCTTGTTGGAAAAAATGTTTCTAAAATCGAACTGTTCTTGTTTTTGTCTGTATGTTTGGTTTTTTTTTTAATTAAATATTTATCAATTAAATTCGAATAAAGACAATTGAATAGAGTAGAATGGGATAGTTGCAGACAAAAAAATCACTCTTTTTCCTTGTACTTATTATAACTCGGTCAATTTTCGAAATTTTCTTTTAGGTGTTTTTTCAGACGTGTAAAGTCATGTCGTCTCTATAAACTCATCTAAAAATTATCAAGAAATACCTGTACGAAATCGTTCAATCGCGGTTTTTCTAGAGGTATCTAGAAACTTTCTGCAATTGCCTCACGTACGATAATTGCATACGTACTCAGAAAGAGTGAAGTAATTGCAGACATACCCAGAAAGAGTGAAGTAATTGCAGA